AGCAGTATCGTATCCAGTCTTCAGCTCGCCAATGATGGTCGCGCCTCAGGGGTGGTCACTGGCGAGAACCAGAAAGTGATCAAATGCTCCACATGTTCACAAGATGTACAGTACTGTAGTATGACGGATTGTGACCAGGTTGGATCTATCCACGCCGGTCTTCGAAAAGTCCTTTGGCGTACAGGTGCCGTATCATGTTGTATCTACTTCAAGTCTAGGGGGACGACGGGACGAAACTCCTGGTGCTGCGAAGTGCTGGTCATACTGGGATCCAAGCCAGTCCCCTGTGTCACCAGTGCAAGCCTGTGGGAAATACGGAACATGGTGGACGGTGGCCGGGCACTTTCGAAGCCTTTTAAAGGGCCTTTGCTCAAAATTTAGCGGCCTCCCGTGCGGTGGGACAATGTGGTACAACGATGTACAACGGCTCTGGACATCATTTGCGGATCATTTGCGGCGTTTTGCACCTTTCGGTGGTCCATAACATCTCGACGGGTTTAAGGAAAGTTTCATGATTTGGTATCAGTTATATGCTATAGTGGAGGAATTGGCCGCAGATGGCCTTTAGACTGGTTCATGACACCGGAACGATGTCTCTCCTCACCAAGTTTACACACGGCAGAGCTGAAGTGACTTGCACAATCACCTCCATGACGAACTGCCAATGCCAGCCACTGGAGTGTTCGGATCATATTACAAATTGTCATACTCATCGCCGGATGGGGTGTCGTGGACAACACTCATTTCCGATCAGCGCAAGGATGCGGATTCGGCACGCGACATCGATTCAGAAACTCTGCGGAATGATTCCTGGATGGCCATGCATGGCCATGTTGCTCATGTCAACCATGTGGTTTTGCAGTGAGTGGTCATTAGCCCACAGAGATGAACATCTTTAAAGTGGAGACCCACCACGAACAACAGCTCCAACATGCTCCAACATCGAAGGCTAGGGCTAGTGCACCTCCCAGCCAGAAAGATGTCGCTGGCAACTGGTTAGAACTTGTTCTTGACCAACCTCTCTGACCTTGAGTCCTCAAGATCGGGACCTGGTACTTCATCCAGAAGCATATTGAAGCCAGAGCCAAAATCGAGGCATGTTTGTGGACGGCTGCGTATCATGTCGAGGTGCAGCTCGCCCTATCTTGAAGCAGAAGATTGAAGTCCTTTCTAACGACACTGGAGTAATGGTACGGCGAATTGATCCTTACCAGAAGAAACCGGAGCTTGTATCAGACCTGAAGCTCCAAGTAGTTGCTCGTATTCACTCCGATGTCCCTTGTTCATGCAGAGAAGGTGAGGTTTGTCCGGCGTTTTGTCCTGAGGTACGTTGGGGCGATGCCTGGCAAGCTGGTCCAATGCCTAAAGGTCACTCAGAGTGAAAGGCTCAGATGGCCCAATGAGTCCAATGCCTTGCCGCCTTGCACCGGTGAAACAGAGTCTTTGACCTCGCACTGGTGCTGCACTGGTGCTGAGAGACAGGAGACTAATTTGCTTTTTTAGGTTCCAATCCGGTCATCCTCATCGACGAGATTGACAAGTGCGCATGATTGCCAGTTTGAGCACGTTTGAGCCATGCATGATCAGATATCATCAGGACGTGCTTGTAAGACTTCCAACCTACCACAGTTTGTGAGAGAAATGCCGCGATGCCAAGCTGGTCAGGCTGGGCAAAGATTTTCGTGGGGACCCTTCTGCAGCACCCTGGCTGCCGAAACCTGGAGACAACTTTTCGATTGTTGGGTCTAGGGCATGTTCGTGAGGCATCAGGCCAGGACAGCCAGTTTCGAGTCAGGAAGGGCTGGGCTCTGGGTATTGCCATCTCCGGAAGAGCGTGGGGGGGTGAAAGTGTCAGCCAATGAGTTGCCTGTGGTGTCCAACGTGATGAAGTGACATGTGCAGTCATGTGATGCAGGATGATTTGTGATGTGCTGATGTTTTATGGGGTGATGTGGTGAGTTGCTGCTTTGAATGTTCATCATCCATGGTCCATTGTTATACCGATACTTTGCTTGCTCATGTCTTGTCAATCTTCTAAGTATACTTTTCTGTGGATAGGCTTTCCTGGGCTGCTACCGCTACTCCATAGGTGACTCAACAAGCCTCTACTTTCCTGCAATTTTCCATAGATGATGTAGGAACATTTGACGTTCCATGGATTTACCCTTTCTTCTCTCCAATGCCCTCTTTCGGCACTGCTTGTTGTGATTCTCTACCTCACCTCCGGTGCAAGGAGTCCCGACGTAACAGGCACCTGTGACAGACGCTCTGGACAGTGGACCATATACAAATTCAAACCAGTAGAGAGACTTCGCAGCCTGGGCCTGAACCATGCCCACAAGGCATACACCCTGTAAAACAAAAAGCCTTGCTTGCACCCTCTCTCAATTTCAAACATATGTCAAGACCAGTTTCATCAAAACACCTGACCTGTCCTGGTCTTTGATTTTTGTCATGGGATTCGGGATTTTATAGTGCTCCTGCAACACAAATGTCTTACAGAAGCGTTGGTGTGGCAACACACGCATCAATATGTCGATCGTGCGTATGCAGAGAGACGGATACGATACCTAGAACATCCTAGCACCCCAATTGAGGAAAAGGTCCACATTTGAGTGGTGGGGGGAGGGAAAGTTTGGTCCAATAGCTTGGTTGCGCCGAACGGTGACAGTGAAGAGCTTGGATGCGCATTTGATGCGGTGACCAAGCTGTAAGTGGCCCAGTGGCCCACATGGCCATTCGCGGCCTGAGGCACTGCTAGAAGTACTTGCCCGGGCCTTTGGTTGTTTATGTGGAGACATCAAGGCGACTGTGATGCCTTGGGGCAGGATCCTGAGCAGAACAGCAACTACAGAGATCACTATTTGGTGCACAACTTAGTTCTTGTTGCATGTGCAGAGGTGAACCAACCATCCAGTTTGCATTGCATGTGAGAGCCAAAAGAGCTTGCAGGATGTGCCGATGGACTTGCTGGACACCCAAATGCTCGTAATATTTATTGCCCAGAGCTTCAGTAAAGTGTGTGACACTTGCAGTTTTGGGTTGCAAGGTCCAAGGTGCTGTTTGCCCCAGCCTTACCTCGCATGAGCTTATCCGATGAACAAAGCATGAGCTTACAATGTATTCGATTGACGGGCAGAGGTTTGCACTGCAAACGAGCTGGACACCATTCCTGGGCCTTTGCTGGATCGAATGGAGGCACCAGGGTTGCAGCTTGCCCTGGCAAACCTCGAATTCTCTCGTCGACAACTGCTTGTTTGTCGGTAGCACCAGCGAGGTGATCAGAATAGCCGGCTACGTTTTTGAAGAGAAGCTGGCAATCGCAAATCAGTGACCAAGACCTCCCAAGTGCGCGCCCACACTTGATGACTTCATCCATGAGGTATTTGATCCCTTCAACCATGCAAGAGAATGGTGTTGGTCAGAGCCCTGCTTGGAGGCGTTTCCCAAAAATGCGTTCAGTGTAGGAAAACTGCCTGGACCTAAGGCGAGGAAAGGCTGTCCTTAAAGGACATCCTCCGACGCGTCGAACAGCAACCAACTGTGAAACAAGTTGAAGCGTTTCCTTGGAAATTGTTGCAAGAGATGACAAGTGGTGTTTATGTTCGCTAGGACGAAGCTGTCCGAAAGATGATTAGTGATTATGCCTGCATCTCAGCTTTCAGCTGCAACTGAAGAGATCGTTCAGGGGATTCTGGGCTAGTTTAGCTCACTGCAAGTAGTCACTAGTCTTGAGTTTGCTGTCTTCTGCTTTCATGTGCCGTTTGCCATGTTCGTTCAGCAAGCCTCAGAAGAAAGAGCGTCCTTTCATTTGGTGTTAACAGGGGCAGATCATCAGGAACATCACCAAGCTTTTTGCGCTTGGTTCTGTAGCCTTTCGTGATGGGCAGTTTTGCGTTGCTTGAAAATATGTTACAACCCCCCCGACCCCCTCCACCAACAAAAACCAAGAAAGACAGTCTGCCCAACACACCTCTGAGGCCAGAGAGGCCAGAGAGCTTGTTGCACCGGTCGCGTTTGCACTGCCGATGTCAACCTCTTTTGTTTTCTATGTTTCGTGTGGGGACCTCTCTGCGTGGCGCATTGCGCACGCAGTTGGATGCTGGAGGCAGGGGTGCGTCAGTTGCGGAAACTCTTGGACAAGGTCTCTCGCAAGGCCGAGTCGATGTGTGCCTAGTTGTAGAGATTTGCAGCACACAGGGCCACCCAAAGTGCTTCCAGGTTGCTCTCAGCATGGTGCGCAAGAAAGAGGAGGCCATTTCTATTCTATGGCATCTAAGATTTACTGTAGATTCTAAATGTCAGAGGTGAACAAATTCCACCATGAACGTGGTTGTGAGTCTTGGAGTGCTTTGCAGGAGCTTCCAGCTGTTGTGGTAGGAACTGACCTTATTGGAACTCTGGAGAAATTGAGGGAGCAGATGAGCACAAGCATGTACAAGCTGCCTTTTGCTCAACCGGGAATGACTTGTATTTGTTTGAGTTGAGTGTCCTAAGTCTTTTGACTTCATGTCCAGCACTGACTGTCACTCCAAGGTTCCGAGAATCTCACGACCTACATTGGTCAGCCACAGTTCCTCACGGACAGGTGGTGCGTTCAGGAAATTGGACAACAAATCTAAAGCGTGGAAAGACTCCAAAGCGTGGAAGATCCAAAACCAAAACTTCTTCGGCATCCAGCATGGCATTTGTTGTGGATACGGGTGACCGAAAAGGCTGCTTGAAGCATGGGACTGACCAAAAAGACCCAGACATGCTAGGCTCTTTGGTCAAGACATGCCTCCCGGTGTGGCAGGATTCTTAGAATCTCACTCAATTAATGTCACGTTGTGGAGCGTTTTTGAAGAAGGCTTGCTGGGATTTATAGGAGCAGAGGAGACGGAGAGAAGATGTTCCGAAGAATCACTGGGCGGATGAAGGGCTAAGGCTGCCCAACCGTGACATATGATGGATCCAAGCTCACACCTTCCGTGTATGTATATAAGGCTTTGACCAATGCCATGGATGATCCATTTGCCGTTCTACGGATTCCTTCTTTTACGGTGCGCAAGGAATCTGATCTACCCAAGTTGAAGGAGAGGGCTAAGAACTTAGTGAAGCAGTATGAGAAAGTCAACAAGTTTGACAAAGCCCGTGAAGTTGAAGTGGCTTACAGAAGTGTGAAGGAAATGGTCATCAAGAGAGCCAACTGCGCCGGGTCAAAAGCCTTCAACAAAGTGATGGTGAATCGGCCTGCAAAGTCGTCCTCCGAAAAGGTGCCGGAGAAGTCCGGGGAAAAGTCCGGTCCCAAAAACCCTGCCGAGGTTCATTTTCTGAAAGCTCAGGGTGCCAGGGGCACAGCGAGCGCAGGCACAGCCGCGGCTAGCGAAAAGCCGGTGCCTGCCCCATCGCAACCCTGCAAGAGCCGCGAGGAGCGGCTGAAAGAAAAGCTGGAAGCTAGAAGAGCCGCTGCCAGCGAGAAAGACAAGAGAGCAGCTGCCATTAAAGAGAAGCTGGCGGCAAAACGTGCCAAGAAGAATGGAGACGCACTCCCAAGTGCAAGCTCTCCGGTTGAGTCAATGCCATCCCTTGAAAACATGGCTAGTCCCGACAGCTCTGGTGTGGAAGCCGATGCCGACCATCGGAAGGAGGCTGGAGCGGGTACTGATGAGCACAGTCACAATGCAAGTCCCGACCAGAATCCTCATCCTCAAGGTCCTGACGGTGATGACGGTCCCAACATGCCTGAAGAAGACATGGCGGTGGACTCTTTTTGATGCCTGCCTGGGTGTGTTTGGAGGCTGCATGGGCCCCAGGCCCGGCCACTTGGCCTCTCCAAAGCAATTTGGAGGACATTCTGATGTGTGGCCAGTCTCACCAAGGGACAACTGTCTCGGTCTCGTGCCAATGCAATGCCCACTTTTCAGCCTGGCATCAGTTGACTCAAAGGGCGGTTGAAGGCGGTGAACTTACAGATGACCTCAACCCAACTGCAAACAATCCAACAACATCTAACAACTAAAGCTGTGGGGCTGTGATTGGTTAATGATTGATGATTGATGGTTCAGTTCCATGGCGAGTCAAACGCTGATGAAAGCCAGCTGAAAGTGGGTGAGATAGTCCATCGGTGGCAAAACAGCAGGGACAAAGTGCTGCAAAAGAAACAGAGGCTCGTGGCTGACGTTTGAGGGCGTTTGTGTTGTTTGCTGCTTTGAGAACCGGTAAAATCGGGCCTTTCGTCGAGCCGGAATCAGACAAGACATGGTTATGTTACGTTGAGATTGAGGTCATGGGCCTTGCTTGGACGAACATGGGAGGAGCTACTCTCTTCATTGAAGCACGAGGCGGCTGTTTGCTTCAAAATGGAATGACACACCAGTGACCCCCAGTCCTTTGACTTGATTTGACTTGATTTGCTGTATGTGACCCGTTTGGACTTCAGGGCGGCTACCTTTGGAGAGCAGCTGGCCTAGTTCTTGCAACTTTGTACCCGGACTGGGACTTCATCAGAAATGCATGCTTTCACCTACCACCTGCACACGGGGCTAAGACCTTGAGATTTCAAGAGTCACCGTGGAGGCGGGGCGAGGGCCGGCAAGGGTGTTCACTGGACAAAAGGGGTGGCTGACAAACACGACATCACTTGGGCAGTCCAATGGACAACAAGCATCAACAACCTCTACAAGTACTACTCAGCGCCGGTAGAAACCAAGCTGTATGCGAGCTTGACAGTTGTCTTTTTGGATAGACCATTGGAAAATAAACATGTAAAGGTCCCTTGGAGCTGTGAAAGTACAGAGCTCACTATTCTTCCTGCCCATAGTTCTTTTGATTTCTTTTGAACTGCAGGCCCCCCAAACTGTCCTTGTTTCAGGTTTCTCAGCGTCACATCAAAGGGCTAAATTGTAATAGGTTGGGTCACCAGATCCAAGGGTAATTAATACACCCGTTGCTTTTGCCAAACCAATCCCAACCAGTGTTTTTCCTCATTAGAACAGTTCTTCGAGGTGACGCTACAGTCGGCAATGGCTTGGACCATCCTTGTGCAAAACACGGCGTTTCTCGAAGAACGGCATGGGAACGTCACGATGTGTTCTCGTCATGCCAGGGCCCAGCTGACGAGGATGAATCCCGTCCGACTTGAGCTCAAACATGCCGAATCGCGAGCGAGATCACGACTGGAGACGCGTCGATTCGAAGATCACCAAGGTCTGAAGCACCGGTGACGGCGCCAAGCGAGATGCAGGCCGGTGACGTGATCCTGACCAAAGGGACGGGGGGGGTCCAATGTCCAACAGGGAGTCCCTGCTGGGCTAGGGACACCAAAAAACAGACGCCTGTGTTGACAGGTCACAGGTCAGCTGGGCGCAGTCATGAGCGAGTCCAGCAGCATCTCTCTCACGTGCCGCTTTCAACTGTGTGCAAGAAGCGACTAAGCCACCACAAAGAGTGCGCAAGTCGCGACCTTTATTCGCAATTTGCAGAGCAGAGCACAGCTACAGTTCCAATGTAGCCCCCATGAGTTCCACAGTTCCACATACTGGCCACTGGCCACAACAGATATTTGGCCAAGAGGTACGCGCGCATGTTCATCCGGGAGCTTGAGTCTGAGCTTTTGCCTGATGCTTCACGTAATGTAATTGGTAGTGAGTGTTGTGCATCTTTGTGTGGAGGTCGAGGAGGACCATGCCGCTTCATTCTTTTTCAAGTCAATGATGTGCCTATTGCAACCGCACTGAATCATGGCGTACATGGGGGCCACCTACAAAACGCACGTAAAGACAGAGATTTGGTGTGACTAAGACGTGGGCTGCGCTATCCTTCAGAACAAGTATCCTAAGAGTGCGCCTTTGCTAAGTATCCCAAGAGTGCGCCTTTGCTATCCTTTGATCCTTGCTTGACCAGACAAGCCACGCTTTCCCAAGATTCCATTGAAAGGAATAGCTTCAATCGTCGGCAAGGGGCTAATTAAACACAGAGTTCTTGAACCACACACACACATCACAAGACAAACAGCTCAGTGTGATCTGACACTAGCCTGCGCAAGCATTCTAAACGAGCAAACTGCACCCACCAGATTAGGTACTATATTGAAAACGGTGCATGCCGGGGTGAAAGGTTACCCCTGGCGAGTTCAGTCATCAGTATGACTCGATGCCCATGCCAAGCCTAGCTAGCAACACAAACAGAATTGAACAGGAGTGAGAGTGAGAAGCAGATCATGATGTAGTATATAACTTCTTAACGTGTGTAAGCATACATACATACATACATACATACATCAGAGGGATGCGGCCCTGGCAGCTTGGGAGCGGGCAACCCAAATCCACAATCCCGACAAAGAGGCCTGGCAACGCATACTCGACCAGGACCACTACGACATTTACAAACATGCCGCAGAGAGACTGGCCAAAATATATGAAGACAAGGAGCACTACCTGCACTCCAAACCAGGCAGGGCCGTTGCACACAAGACAAAGCAACGAAAAGAGGCCCTCATCGACCAGTGCAAACAGCCATGGCAGCACGGCAAACACCAATGGAAACCCCACAGAAGCGGGTACCAATGCCACACATGTCAAACCAGAGTGCATCAAGGTTTGACAGCAGCCATGATTGAAGAACGCCTGCAAGAAGACTGTGCCCAGCTGACGGCCCCAACCCCGGAACCTGATCTTCGAAAGAAAACCACAAGAGCCAGTCGTATCGCATCCCTGCTCAAGCTGCAGCAGGAACATCCCATCACACCGGATGTTCACAAGCTCCCAGAGACAACGGGGTATCTCAAGTGCAGCAAATGCAACCAGGCCATCCACAAGAGGGCCAATGAAGAGCTGTTCAACCAGTTCCTGAACAGCATCTGCATAGATGCACCCTACACCCAGGAACATCAAGCACACAGCACCCACACCCTCTGGCAGGTGGGGAAAGCCATCCAATGCAAAGGTTGCGGACTCCAAACCCATCTTGATGAGAAAGACCGCCTCATCCTTACCAAAGGCTTCCAAAAAGAATGCAAGGGGCATAAACCGAACTCACCCACGCTGGCACACTTCTTCAGTCAAGCCAGTCAGAACACCCAAGCTGCCCAGACACCACCGGAGGCACCCAAAGCACCGGCAGCGGAGCGCCAGGAGGCTACCGCTCAAGCCACAACCGGCCATGAAACCCAGCCAGCTCCAGCCACCCCGCCTCCAGCATCAGCACTTCCTGCTGATCTGTCACCACCAGCTCCAAAGAAGCTGAGGTTCTCGACAGAGACCCTGACCACCAATGCCGCTCAACAGGCCATGACACCCAGCTCACTTGAGCAGGCTGAGGAAGAAACAGATGGCGAGGACGACCCAGAGGTCAATGTTGACTTCTTCTGAGCTGACACGTGAGACTTCTACTGAGCTGGCATTGGTGAGAGCTGCACTGGCCAACACGGCCTCCAACGACAAACAACTTTAGTAGAAAAAAATACATACATACATACATACATACATACATACATACATGGCTCAAGCTGTGAGAGGTTCAAGCTGGTCCCGCAAAAAATCCAGCTAGTGTGGTACCCCTCGCACCACGTGTGCACTGAGAACATCCTTCCGATCACCGCCAAAGAGGTGTTCAAGGGTGAGCGTCCTTTGCCCGTGATCATCCGACCTCGTGCACCTCGCCCCGGCAGACACCTTTGGCACCTGGCAGTGCTCGCTTGGCTTCGACTCTGAGCCCTAGTACGGCACTGGAGCCACACCTCTGCCTTTGACTGAGGCCAGATTTTCACCGGGGCCCCGGTCCTTGCCATCACCTTGCACTATCACTTGACCCTTGACGGCCACAGTTTCCTGAACAATGACGACAAGTCATCCCTCCTCCTGGGGAAGGACCTATGTGGTGTGTCAAAAGTGCTCCAATTGGATCTGGCAGGACAAACTTCGACCAGATACCCGGTGCCGCAAGTGTGGCAATTGGTGGCCATCCACGAGAGCTGGCATAGGCAAAGGAAAAGGACAGGGAAGACCAAGCAGGTCAAACGAAGGTTGGCATCGAGGAGGCCATGAGTTACTGGACAAACCAGGGCTTCACAAGCTAAAGCCACTCAAGAAGAGCATGCCCAACCAGACAGCCAATGACCTTCTGACCAGCTCATGGGATGTCATCCCAACCGAAGTTCAGACCAAGCTGCAACACTTGGGATTTGGTCCACCTCCACCTGAGGAACCGGGACTTGAAGCCATACTTCAAACTCATCTCAAAGAACTTCCCCAAGCAGTCCAAGATGTAGTGAACAAGATGCAGCAGCCTATTCCGGACACGGAGAAAGCTCTTGCTCAGAAACTGAAGACACAAGTGACCGAGCTCAAGACGATTTCAATGAAGAAGGCACAGCTACAGACCCGCCTTGATCAGGTCAAAAGTCAATATGCCACCATGCTTCAGGAGATGCAAGAGCACCAAGGCAAGCTTGCTGAAGGGCAGACCAAGCTCAAAACCCTCTCAGAGCAGTACATGCAGGCGGTCAACAAAAACCCGCCACCTCCTGAACTTGCGATCAATGATCCCGAGTTGCCCATCCCCATGGCAGTCGAGACCTTCGTCACAAGCTTGGGCATTGAACTGACCGCTGAGCAGCGTTCCCAGCTCCACGGTCTTCTTAAGAGGCCAGGTGCTGACGTTGATGACCCAAGCAAGCGCCGGAAAACAGATGCACCCATCCCACCACAGGGAGGGGAGTGTGGGTAACACTGCACAAGCACGCGGCAACTTCCAAGGTATCCTTGTGCCAATACCTTGGGAGGACATTGAATGGGCACCAGACCAAGGGGATTGCCGCGCTGCCTCAAACTCAGCAGCAGGGGTTCAACAGGTGACATGTGCAGGGGATCAGTCACATAAACACCTGTCACTTCCAACTTTGACTTTGGGGACTCACAACAAGAGCGCACGGGATACCACTCTTGTTCACCTTGAGACCACACAAGAATCTGGCTTTACCAGGTCTGACAATTTTGACTTTTTCACTTCTCCGGCTGCGCACCATGGGCCGCTGTTGGGAGCTCCTGGGCCTGAAGTAATCAGCATTCAAGGAGGAGGCAAGAGCACTTCAAAGAAAGCGGCCACCAAACACAAGGGCATGATGGAACCTTCGTACGCCTCCACCACCGAATGCATCCTGCAGAACCTCACCATGTCCGTGGGGAACCCAAGTGCCCGGTGCTTTGCCAATGCGCCCTGGAGAGCCTTCACTTGGACCTGCGCACTACTGCAGGAAACCAATACCCAGCCATGGGGAAACCTCAAAGAGGCTGTGCAGGAATCCTTGGAGCTCGCGGAGGCCGTCGACATCCAACAGCTTCCAGGACTTCAACCACTCTGGAAAAGACATGACCTCAACATGGAAGGTGATGCCAACCACTTCGTCAACACCTTGTGGAATGTCTCCCAGTCCAGAGCCTTTCACTACAGATTTGCTGAGATCCAACCAGGGGGCTACCTCACGGATCACGTCCAATTGCCCATCCTGATCCCCTTCCCAGATGATTGGCCAGAGGTCTCCAATCTGCAGGATCTCTTCAATGGCTGGGCCAACACAGGTTTGGGACAATACCTCATGGATGACAAGCCAGTGCTGGTGAGCCACATCACCAGGAACACAATGGTGGACAACACAGCCACCAAGCACTGCAAAATACTCAACACCTACGGCACCTTTACGGTCCCACGCTCGCTGGACGGTTTTGCCAGGGCATCATCTGAGTATGTGCCAGCAGCCCTCATATGTCATCGGGGCCCCAGTCACAACACCGGCCACGACTTCGCCATCCTCATCTACAGAGATTTGATGTGGATTGCAGATGATGGGAAGCCACCCATGCACCTGGAGCATTTGACTCCCCATCTCGCCAGCCAGGTCACTCAAGTCTGGGCGGTGCACATCGATACTTTCAAGACAACCCAACAGGTGCTACGCTCCTTACCACCTCCAGAGGAGCCAAACTTTGATCCGCCTCTACATCCCAGTCCAGACAAGAGGCCAAGGCATGAACAGCAGCACAACATTTTGCATTTTGCAAATGTCACACAATTTGGACGTCAAGTCCTTGACTGGTATTGGTCAAGGAAAAGTGAAATCTACATCCTGGTTGAAACACACCTGGATCCGCAACAACACCAACAGACTTGCCAGTACTTCACCATCAGAGGGAGAACAGCGTTTGGCACCCCAGCCCAGTCCAATGAAAGCAATACCGGCACCCATGGCGGCATCCTTGTCCTTGGTGATGTCTCCTGCGGCCTGACCGCCTTAGAATCCTACTCCAACCAGGGCTGTGGGTTTCAAGCTTTCCTTTGGCAAGCGACTGACCTCACCATCCTGGTAGCTGGCACCTACCTGAAGACTGGAGAGACTTTGCAGAGTGAAGTCAATGCCACGATCCTTGCAAGGTTGCTAGCTCTGGTACAAGCCACAAGTCACCCTTTTGTGCTCTTGGGTGATTGGCAAAACAGCCCAGGCTCCATAGCAAGCACGGTGCTACCTTCCAAGTTCCACTTTGAAGTGTTGGCCCCAGATGTCAGCTTGCTCTCAGGCAATGTCATCGACTATGCCCTGATCCACACCAGCTTGGCCGGCACCACTTCGATCACCACTGAGTGGGCTATTCCTTGGCGGCCACATGCACTCCTCTCCTATCACTTCAACATCGAAGAAGCCACCAAAGAATACAGGCAGATCCAGCAATTTCCACCACTACCAGCCACACCGGACATTGACTTCCGGCCTTGGACCACGTACAAATCCACTGCCTACAAGCTCGACCTCTATGGCGACCCGCCCAATGAAACAGCACAGCAATGGGCCGACTGGCTCTCGTGCACTGAGCAATACCTCCTTCAGGAACACCCTTGGGCACCTCAAGGAAGGGGTTCCAGCCTCAGGGCATGCCATAAACCACTGACACCCAGCCACACAGTCACCACCTGGAAGAGAGGAAGACCGGCCTTTTGGGAGCAACTGAAGGCCCGTTTCCAACTGGCTCTAAAACAACCCACACTGCAGGCCAGAGGACCGACCAAAGGCTTCATGCAAGCCACAGCTGATGTGCCCAAGCATTGGGTGGGAACCCCCACATGGGGTCAATTTCTTGACACTTGTCATCATTGGCGGCATTATCGTGATGAGCATGCTGCCACGCTCATTTGCCATACCCTTGAACATCAGCTTCAACTGGCCCACCAGGCTGCCAATGATGAAAACCATCTCCAATACAAAGCATGGCTCCAACAAGGCTACACCAAGGGCTTGAAAGGCCTGTTCCGCAGCCTCCGCAGCAGCGAACTGGCATGGGAAAGACCATACAGAAACTTGCCACCCGACGAGAGGATGACACAAAGACTTCAAGACTGGGGAAAGCTTTGGCAAATCAGGCAAGAAGACCAACCACCTGAACGACTTACCCTCCAAGCACTGGCCAAGCAGCAAGGACAGCAGCTAGAGCCTCTGACTCTCAGCCAACTCACATGGGCGCTCCGCCACCTGCCTGATAAAGCCTGTGGTCCTGATGCAGTGACAGCACAAATGCTGCGAACGGCCCCCCCACTTGCTGTCAAGGCCCTCCTCAAACTCTACCAAGAGATGGAAACCAAGGTTCAGCTGCCCACCCAACAGCAGATGCACATGGTGGTGATGCTCCCAAAAAACGAGGCCAAAGAACGGCCCATCACACTCACATCCCTGCTCTACAGGGTATGGTGTCGCCTGCGAAAGCCCTTGCTTGATGACTGGCAAAAACAACTTCCAGCCACCATGCAACATGACAGAGCCAGACCAGGGGCACAAGTGCTCCACGTAGCCCTCGAACGGCTCCTGCGACAAGAGGTGCATCGAGCAACTGGACAATATGGAGTGACCTGCCTTATGGACATGTCCACCTTCTACGACACCATCAACCTTCAGCGACTCCAGACCGAGGCCCTGAACTTGCAGTACCCTCCTCTGATGCTTGAAATGGCCTTGCAAGTCTATCATGGCCCCAAGGCCATAGTTGCGGAGCAGGAGATGACGCCCTTTTTCACCGTCACCCATGGAGTCCCAGCTGGCTGCCCCCAGGCCCCTCTGCTGGCCAAGGCGGTACTCGCCCCAGCACTCCAACCATGGCAGCAAGCGCATCCCAACATCCACCTCTCCAGTTGGGTTGACGATGTCGGTTTTGACACAGCCAGCAAAACCCCAGTCCAGGCAGCGAAAGCTTCTGTTGCCGCCTACCGAGACCTCCATGCAAGGCTCCAGCAACTCGGCCTTCAAGTCAATCCGAAGAAGACAGCCTTTGTCACCACTGACAAGGCTACTGATCGAGAACTCAGGGCCTTGCTCACCGAGAACGATCCCCAGATTGCGCCAGTCATGAGAGACTTAGGCATTGACCACCAAGCAGCCCGCAAGAGGAGGATCCCGGTGATGAAGCAGCGCATTAAAAAAGCCAACCACAGGAAAATCAAGTTGAGGAGCCTCAAAATCCCAGCCCTCAGAGTCCGGCTGCGCCTTCATCGGGGAGGCATTCAACCAGTTGCTCTGTGGGGTGTCGAAAGTCAAGGCCTCGCACCACGCTATCGAGCGGCATTGAGACACAGCATGGCCAAGCACCTGGGCCATCACACGGGCGGCCTCCTGGATGTCATCTATGATATCCATGCCAAGCGCTACATCGACCCTGCAGATCAGGTCATCATACAGCACATCAGAGCCATCCATCACCTCATCCAAGCATGGCCACCCGACCAAATGCCAGCTCTTGAACAAGCGTGGCAACTGACCAGACAACAGCTGCAGGAGAAACAATACCCATGGTACACTGTACGAGGACCCTTGGCAGCCACGATTGTCTACCTCCTGGAATGGGGATGGCAACCGAGAGACCTACTGCATTGGCACCGGCCAGAAACCAAGCTGATGCTGGCTGAAGAGCTCCACCTTCAGCAACCATGGTGGGTCATTGAGCGAACCCTCACCCGTGAAGCTCAACAGCAGCGCACCGCCAGACTCGCCAGTAAGCAGTACTGCCAAGACTTGTTAACAGGCCTGGATTGGCACACCTACAGGCAAGTGCGGAAACACCTCAAGCAACAACAACAGCACCACCTTGACACCTGGGTCCAGGCGGCATTGCAGTTCAGAGATGCGCACCAGACCAAGACCTGCCCGCAGTGCCAAGTCCCAGCCACGCCAAAACACATACTCTGGCTATGCAAATGGCACAAAACTCAAAACCATGAACCCATGCCACCTGAGTGGATGGACCGCATCACCAGTCATGATGAAGAAAGGTTATGGGCACATGGATGGATACCCCTCGAACCGCAAGAAGCAAGAACTCAGCAGCATCCGCTCCAGGGACATGGCTGCTGGGCCGGCATGCAAGTCATCCCGCTCCAACAACACTGTGGCTGGGCATTCACTCTGGATGCTACTCCTTCCACCTATGACCACCGCAGCCAGATGTGGATCTTTGGTCTCTGTGCCCACAACATGGCCCTGGGACAACTCAAGAAGCTGGGATCCATCACTGGGGTAGCGACAGGAGAACAAACCAAAGTCCGGGCGCTTCTCACCGGTTTGGTAGCCCTCACACACCACACGGCAGACCATGTCAAGGTCATTGTCCAGCTGGCATCCGTCTGGGAAGCTTGGCACCATGAAAAGCATCGGCATCCATACCACGACATCTTGGCCGAAGTACCACCCCAGGACTTCAAAAGAGTCACGGTGCTCTACATCAGCAAAAACACCAGGACACCAGACCAACCAGCCAACGAGCCGCAACTACGGCGAAGGCAAAGGGAAACAGCACTTGCAGCTTGGGAACGTGCCAAGACCCTGTACGACAGCAAGCAGGAGGAATGGCAGGAAACCCTAGATCAAGATCACAAATTGATCTATGAGCATGCCGTCCAACGCCTCAGCAAAATCTTTGCTGACAGCCAGCACTATGTGCACCAAAAAGCTCCTAAGCACCAAGGCAAGCAAACGAAGCAATACAAAAAAGAACTCATCAACCGCTGTCGTCAGGCTTGGGATGATGAGCACCACCACTGGGAGCAACACCAAAGAAGCGGATACCAATGCCGCAACTGTGGCCTGCGAATGCACCAAGGCCTTACCGCTGACATCCTGGAAACCAGGTTGGCCGAGCCCTGCCCTCAGAAGGTGTTCATGGAGGTAGTCAACTCGCCAGACAAGGAGACCCAACTGCCCAGAAAACTCACCAGGGTGCAGCAGATAAAGGCCCTGCTGGACCAACAGCCAGAGCAACCTACGGCAGGCCACCACCAACTGGCTGAGACCACTGGCTACCTGAAGTGCGTGGTGTGCAACCTCAACATCCACAAGAGGGTCAATGAAGAGGCTTTCAAAACTTTCATCCACAGCACTTGCATCAACCAAGCCTATCAGGCTGAACACCAAGGCCACCCAAGCCATGCACTCTGGCAAGTGGGGGAGCGAGTCAAATGCACGCAATGTGGCACCCAATGGAACTTGGATGGGCAACATCGCATCATTGCGACACAGGCCTTTCACAAGCTCTGTCGAGGGGCAGGTGGTAAACATACGCCACCGATCAGCACCTTCTTTCAGAAAAAGCAAGACAAGTCAAGCAGCCACAGCTCAGAGTCTTTCCCACCTGCAGCAGCAGCCGGCACAGGGCCTACTCCCAAGCGTCTGCACTTCCCCACGGCCCTGGAGGAAGCAGAACAGTCGGCCCTCACCCAAGGCATGTCAGCACTGGCCGTGACACCCAGCCAACCTGATGACGCTGCCGCTGAGGACCAACACTCTGCTTTTGAAGTAGGCTACTTCTAGCCAAAGGCCTACTGAGAAGACAACTGAGCAGCCACCTGAGGCACAACGCCAAGCCTGACCTGGCCAAACGGCCCAACTCAACAACTCTAGGAAAAAAATACATACATACATACATACATACATACATACACACACACACATACATACATACATACATACACACATACATACATACATACATACATATTGTTTCAAGATGCCTTCAACATGCTCAGACAAGGGACTTCCACGCAAGGCTGGACCCTCAGAAATCATTTCTCGACCAGGCACCTTTTCACAGAGCTGAACAAGTTTGGAGTCACTGTGCGAATCTGTCTAGGGGAGGCCATGGCTAGTAGGTTGGAGACCATCGCTATATATTAGGTTGGAGGCCATCGTTAGTAGGTTGGAGGCCATCGCGAGTTTGACCGGGGCATTTGTTGGATGTTGCGCATGAAACGGAGGCCCAAATACATTTGAACGTCCCAGAAGGTGCCACCCCCAAGGACTGGGTTGGAAACATGCATTAGAACAGGGAGACCCCCGCTTGATGCTGGTGAAGATCACCAGACTGAACCTGTTAGTTGAGGAGGTTTCTTTTAACTCAAATGCACACAGTAATCGGTGCTCGGCCGGGCTCGGCAGGATGGCCCGTCAGCTGGGGTGACGATGGCTGTGGCGTTGGTGAGCTTGGCACTGGAAGTTCCTGTGAGGTGAATCTGGCCTGTTTGGATGGGAGGTTTGGAATCATGCTTGGCCAACTTGTTCTTGGAGCATTTGGTAGAACAACATGGGTTGCAGACCGGAAGCAACAACTGAGAAGAACCAGCGTTGACTAGACTTGAGATCATATGAGACTCATAGAGTATCTCCCACAGGATGGGCTGCACTGCTATCACGCGCGAGCGAGCGCCAGCGGTCGATGCAAGAGAGCCACATTTTTGAGGCCAGATGTGGCCATGACTGGAGAGCTGAGCTTGATGGGAAAGGTCTTGAAGGCTCAGCACAACAGGAATGCTCTCAAAAAGCCACAGCTTGGGGACCCGCAGGTGGGTGGCATCCAAGAAAAGGCGAGATGTGATCCATTGTGATTTGGTGCCTTTCTTGGGGGGTGCTAGTGCCAATTGACATCATTTGACCGTCTCAGCAGGCTCACGCAAGCCCTCATCCGGCTGTGTTTCTGATGCCATTGTTCTTTGTGCTTAGTTAAATCAGCCCAAAGTCCCACAGGTCATTGCTGCTCGACGAGAGAATGTCAAGACGATACTCATGTGTCATTCTTGGAGTTCTTTTGCTCTGGCACAGTCCATTGAACCGCTTGACTCTGTGGGCGAGCTATGGCGAGCACGGAACACCGTCCATTGGTGCCTGATTTTTGGCTTAAAGGTCCCAAATGTTTCAGAATTTCTGAATGTAATCCTCCTGTGAAGCCATGGCCCCGGTTCCATGGAAAGGCGTAGGGCTTTGTGTCCTCTCCTACGTCATGGTCCACATTTCCTGCCAGATCATCACTTGCTCATTGCCATGCTTGATGCAAGATCAGGGCTTTGTGGATGCATGGACCAACACCGACATCGGACGTGTCATTGGCTTTGCTTCCCTAGCTGCAGCCATCGGTTATGGGGTCCACGGTCCATGCATTGACCGATGGGGTGCAGTCTTTGGCCTCAGTATGGCCTTGGGAGGATGCTGCTTGGGCGCCGCACTGCTAGCCACTTCAACCACACAGGCACGATTCATCGCTGGTGCTTCAGTGCTGCGTTTCAGCTATGCAGCTGGCTGGCCTGCCGAGATGAAGGCCTTAAAGCTCTTGGTGCCCGAGGAGCACCAACCGATGGCTGTCTCGACCTTGGGCTTTGCATCACGTGGGGGCGCAATTCTTGGGATGTGTTTCTTTGGCATTTTGACACAGAACCACATTCTCACATGGCGAGAGATCGCTGTCCAAGCCGCCTTCTTGCTGCTCATCATCGGGAGTGGAATTGTAGTCAGCATTCGGCAGCTTATCAAGGCAGCTCCTTCTTCAAAGAGCACTGGACATCAAAAATCAATAGGAAGCCTGCTTCAGGAGCCTTCGGTGTGGCTGCTGACCTTTGCATTTGCATGCCTCTGTCACGTTCAGCATGCCGATGACTTTATGCCTTTGCTCTTTCGGGGACTGACTGGGTCAACCCACAGTGTGACCTTCTCAGCTGTCTACCCCGGCGGTGGCATCGCAGCAATGGTGTTGAATGCCTGGAAGGGGCACTTGTTATCGCGCCGCCGGCGAGAGCAACTCTATGTCATCGCTTCAGCGGCTTCTGCCACCCTCTTAGGGCTTTTGCTTCTGCTTCACCGAGCTGCAGCAGAGCCGGGGGAGTCCACATCACCTCTGATGACCTGGCTCATTGCTTTGATCCTGTTTGTGGCAGCTTTTTGCTGCGCAATGCCTTACTACTTGGTCCCAAATTTGTTTGCCTTTGATCTCATGGGCACAGAGTGTGCAACCTTGATAGCATGGTTTGAGCTGACATCCTTTTGCACCAAGATGCCTGCCCACATGCTTTCTCTCCGAATGGCAGAGGAGAGTTGGGACCTAGTTCTGCTACAGCTGACGGTGACCATGTTCTTTGCGGCCGCACTGATCCAAGCATTGCTCCCCCTGTGGCGAAGCTTGCAGTCACATCGCCGCCATGGAGGCATCTCGCCCCTCACCAACTCGCCACCTCTTCAAGCAGGATCCCCGACCAAGCCCAAGAAGCTTGTCTCAGAGATCAATCTCGAGCCAGCAGTTGATGATGATCATGTGGGGCACTACTACAGGCACGAAGAAGTGAAGCGCCGAGGTAATTAAATCAGCACCCATTCGTTTGAAGCGTTTGAAGGCTTTAGCGTGACTGCTTAGCATGATAGCTGAAGCTGTCATTCTTCTTAATCTCTGTGAAATTCTTCAGGCCTTCGTTTGGCTTGCTAAAGGGAATTGCACATGTATGCCATTTGCATATAGAAAAGGCGGTGCCGGCGCAGGACATGGCATGAATCAAATTACTACTGCACACCTGTACATAATGCAGGAAAGGAAGAACTGACTGCATTCATTTGGCAAGATCAAGCTTTGCCGCCAAGTGCCAGCCCGAAGTCAGTCATGGGGCACCGTGCAAGACACATCTCGCCTCTATCCCAACATGTCAGACTTTGCGAGTAACAGTAAGAGGGGTCTTTATTCTCAAGATTTCTCCGGATACGTCAACAGACTAGAACTAGAACCCGTCTGGCTGATGTTTCAGATTCAACCATGTACCGCGCCTGCTGTGCCCTCAGCGCCAAGTGGACACGGTGTCAGCTGGTGGGCAGGGCGACCTGCCACTCCAAATCGAGGCTTGGTTTGTCCTTGTCTACTGGACTTCCCCATCACTTGTTGGCACAACCATGCCGTGTTTGGGACAACCATGCCGTTGGGCGGCACAATGTTGCTCGCACCATGGAATAATGGAACTGTTGTATATAACTGGCACAGGTGATTGAAAATTGAAGTTGTTACCAGGTGGCCAGTTGCCATGCGTATTTGGTGCAATGGCTGTTCATAGAATAAAGCGTGGCCGGTGGCGCCCTCCAGCAGCCTTTGGTAAAGCAGATCTTCTGCAGCTGGCAGCTTGACAGACATGGTGTTTGTCAAAACCATTCGATACCAAGTTGACATGTAGGCTGCTGTCGCTTCCAACAGCTTGTAGTCAAGCTGCATGCTAGCTACTATGTCATCACTCATCAGTTCAAAATGCAATCCAACGAACCGGAGGAGATGCAATCCAACGAACCAGAGGCGTTGTCAGAGCTTCTTGAAGGCAAGGATCCTTGCAATCTGTTTGTGGTTCCGTTGGGTTCCGTTTGGGCCTTCAACGGCGCTATGTTCTGTAGCTTCTTGCTACTAGTAACAAGTGCATTACTACTGGTAGCAAATTAGCTACTAATAGCCATGCCCTTGTTACAAGTAGCGATGTACTTGTTACTACGTTTTGTTTGCGAAGCTTCGGTTTCCGCTCCGGGAGACCGGGGCCTTCAGGTCTGGGAGCCGAATCCACGGCCGTGCAGGGTGCTGACGGTCTTCTTCGAGAGACGGCGATGGACCGAACACCCACGTGGAAGAGTGCGACGGCTCTTCGGCGATGGACCGAGACTCTGAAGGACCAAAAAGAGACACAGATGGCGGACCATAGCGGAATACACAACCCAACAACACCCAACAGATCTTTTCGTGAGCCGCTACTTCGCACAAAAGGTCAGTTTTGTCAAAATGAACGTTGCACACACACGGTGCTGATGGGCAAGGTCACTGGCATGTTCCCAGCTGATGTTGACATTCAGAAGATCGTGGCCGTGGTGCAGAAATGCTTTGATTTCGATGAGCCACCATTGTGGAGAATTACCAGAGTTCAAGATGCTTGTTGGATGTGTTGCAGGAACTCTCTCCCTCACTCTCTCATTTGCGCAATTGCAAGTGAAAACGTGGTTTCATTGGAGTTGAGATTCTAGATTTTTCTTGGGTGGGATTTTGTAGCAGCTGATTCCTAGAATCCTTGGGTATCCTCCACAAGTCGAACGGTGTCAACTTCTTGAGAAGTGGACTGTTTGCTCCAAGGATATTGATTGGGTCGAGCATGTTCAACGCAGTTGGCAGCCTATGAAACTGGGCCGAAGCTTCGAGGTTCTCCTCCCTTGGCATGAAGGACCTTCAGGTGCAATGGCATGCTACTACACCTTTTTGGATTCTAGTGTAAAATAGATTGCAAGATCATGCTACTTTGTCTTAAAGGGCTAACTTTTTGCTCATATGCCGTTGGCTCACGTGACCGTGACCCATTACCCATGCACCAGGTGGTGCGATGTCAGAGGGCCGTCGCGTGCTGCGCTTGGAAGGTGGTGCAGCCTTTGGACTCGGAGATCATCCAACCACGCAGGGCGCGGTGGAATTCCTGGAGAAGGCAGGGAGAGAGTCATAGTCACAGTCAACCGCCTTGCCCTGGCCTCCCAATCATGGAAGTGGTTTCTGGCCCTGGAACTCCCTATAGCTGGTTTACAGGGAAGACCCGCACTTCACAGGTCTACCGTTTTGAGAGTCTAACGAGTGTGACAAGTCACGAAAGCTAGCGCGCGAGCTGCGTTCTTCTTTGCTTTACTGTAGCAGGTAGCAATCTTGTATTGGGATGAGGTTAGTGCCTTAAAGCTTGATCTTTCACGCCCCCCTGCCCTCATAGTTCTGCTTGTTTTCTGGAGCATGCTTGCGGGTTGCTTTGTGCAATGCCTTGTAGGCTTTGGCTGCAGGTGCTGCTAGTCAGCTATTGGTTTGCTGCTAATCTGCTCCTGTTCTGTTGCTGATGCTGATGTGCTGCTGGTGGTTTGCTGCTGCTGCTGCTGCTGCTGCGGCTGCGCTTTGGCCAGCGGCTAGCTTTCGACCCCCTCCCCCTGGCCTCAAGTTCATACACAAAGACGGATGCGTTCTTTGGGAAGCGCCTCCGTTGATGGGGTCACACAGACAAAACCGTGTCGCCAGCAGGTCCTGAGCAAGCATATGACAAAGGCAGCCGCTTGAAGTATGTTTATAGCATATTATTCAGGCTCCACTTTAGGGGCCTAGTTGAGAACCAGGCGTAGCCCAGGGGGTACTAAGAACCACTCAGAACCCCAATGAGGTTCGGAGAACAGATTGGGTTCGCAAGTTTCATGGTTCTAAGAACCACCTCCTGGTACTCAGAATCAGTAGGTCTTAGAACCCAAAGCAGGTTCCAAGAACCTTTCAGAACAAAGCCCCTCCCAATCGTGCCCCTAAAGTGGAGAATTGTAAAATAGATATTGGCAAACAACTTGTGAAAGCACCTGAAAGCACCAAGCTAGAATTCTAAGGATCGAGTTGATCGAGTTTTAGACTACGGAACTGGCTCTGGTGTGCTGGCGATTTGTGCTGTGCACCTGGGCGCCTCCACTGTGGTGGGTGTCGATGTCGATGAAGGGTCGATAGCAGCCCGCTTGCGATTCAGCTGGCGTCTCCAGTCAGAGTCCGGACCGTCAGCGAGAACATGCCATAGAAAGTGCCCATTTGTGCACCAAGAACTCCAAAAAGTTGGTTTTGTTGGTGGATGTGGAGAGTAGTCATGCTTAAGTTTCATACCTGGCATAAGAATTGTTCCAAACGGTTCAAGATCAAGAATGAGCGAGTTGAGCCCGGCGCTTGCGTCAAATCCCGATGGTTAAACGATCCCTTTCTTAAATGGTGTTCTTGTTCTTGCAAGGAAACAGTTGCATTTGCAATCGCTCATTCATCCATAGAAAATGTTGGGAATGCGTGAGCCTTCGCATTTGAGGACTCTGCAAAGAGAAGCTGTGTGTCTAGCCTGGGTGCAGAGAAGATTGTTTTCCTCAGCAGTCCTGAAGACTTTGCCGTTGCAGAGGAGAAGAGATTGCAAGGGAGAAGACCATCTTCCCACTATCCAGTCAATATAGTGAAGACGACGTTGAAATGGGGGGCAGAAGTCCTTCTTCAGAATTCACAGAAGTTGCAATGCTGATGCATTGAGCATCATTGAGCTCTCATCGCTTTTTTGCAAACTCCTGTTGCCCAGGAGTTTGCGGCTCACTTGGTCCAAGACTACGGGCTATTTCAGGTGGTTGTGGCAAATATTTTGCGAAGGCCAGGCTTTAGGGCGATTCAGATGATTTGAGGTGTTTGAAGTCATTCTTGAAGTGTTGCGTCACACATATGTTTCACCAATCCCACCCATGACATCGTCATATCATGGCAAGGAAGCAGGTTCTCGATTAACGGTGTGTAATTAGGGCCATCCGCCATGAATGATTGAAATAAAACCAGCTGCCCCATCCAAAGAAAATGCCAGCAGAACTGCCAGAGCCTCATGACCCGCCCTACCTGCCACACCCAACACTTTTTTTGTTGACATGCCCGCATTACCTGCAATCCTTACAGAATCAATCAAACAGGGAAGATGGAGGCTCTCAATTATATATATATATAGTTGGAGACACGGTCATAATAGGGCCCCTGGTTTTCTGCTTCTTCGTGCGTTTTCGAGCTGACTGTGTGCGTTTTTGAGGTTACGGTGATGAGGTTGATGTTATAGTATTGATATTAAGACGTTAGTTTAGACTTTCAATGGGGGGTGGGGGGGGTAATGACGTCCACGCTACAAGAATGTTTGATGAACTATTTAGACGTTACATGGGGGGTGGGGGGGATAATGACGTCCATGGGGGTGATGATATTTTGAATTTTCATGGGGGTTCGGTTGAGGTTGTTGATGGATACGTTCTATGCCGACATTGTATCTCACCTACTGCAAGTTTTGGCTTCGACGATGACGGTTTCGGATGTTTCGACGGTGTTGTGTTTGGTTTTGTTGTTTCGTTTGTGTGGTGTTCGGCAACCGCCTCAAACAGATTTGGAGTGTTTGGGACCCCTTTTTCGTGTTAACGTTTTTACGTTAGATCAATATATTGATATTTTCACGACCCCTTTGTTGGATGACACATTGAACTTTGTTGTGCAAACATGTTTGATCTCCGAACGTTCTTGGGTAGATTGGGATCTGGTTGGACAAACACGTGGGAATCTTTTTCGATGTTGGTTGGACTTTTGTCGAGGTAGAACCCCCAACACAGCGTTGACAGCTGCACTTCTAGTTTTATCCCGTCGTTTACTTCGTTCCTGCGCAATGCCGACCATGAGTGCCACACCAAATGTCGTGATGAGCGCCACGCCAGATGTCGTGACTTGACACATCACTCTCAGCTTTTGTTTTTTGTTCCCCTCGCATGTTAGAAGAGTTTGTGGGCATCAGAAGCAAGACACCCTATACAGTGGCCAATTCTCTTTCTTCGTCCCAGGATCAGACGGTCTTCGAGATTTCTTCAGACGAGGAGGAGGCACCTGCTATCATCGATGGCTCGGGTGCGCCGAGTCTTGAACATAATTAGCCTGCTTTGTGTTTTCCCAGAGCTCTGATGCAGGATATGCATGCCTTTTGGGGCAGCCTAATTGTTTGTCTGAACGTCGCATGGGCAATCCAGGAATACAGCTGCGCCACATTGCGCAATGCGACCTTTGCTTCTGAAGTTGCAGAGGCCACTGCCAGATGAGAACGGTTCCAAGCGACTTCCGAAGTACTGGTTGGGCCATGTGCGCATAGCTGCTCTCAAGAAGAGGAATGGGCCAGTGGTTGTGGCTCCTTTGCCGATGAAGTTGCTGCCGCCAGGCTCAGCCCCGGGAGTTGAGTCTTATAGCGACTTGCAGAGCACCGATCTGGATAAGCATCTAGGCAATCGATCTACACAGTTGCATACAGATGGTGCACGTGCGTGGCCATGCTGGGCCACAAACCAAGGCAAGAAGCAGTTGGCAAGTTTCCATGTCAGTCACAACAAGCATGAATTTGCCAAGAAAGTCAAGCGCAGGAAGCGTCCAGGATTTGTTGTCTCCGGCACGCAATGTGTCGACCGATGGTGGCAAAGCTTGGAGAAAGCTGCGCCTAAGACACTCAAGGTGAAAGACCGCAAAGGGGGTGGCATCTCCGAGCGCCTGATGAACTACGTTTACGCTTTCGTTTCTTAGATGCCGATGTAGACCTGACCAGGGCACTCGGGAGCCTCTGAGAAAAGTCTTTGCGGCAACTACTTCGGCCGTCGAAACGAACCACCGCTGAAACGGGTACGAAACTCTGATATTTACACTATAAAATGCTCATTGGCTTCCCAAAACACAGGTAATTCACCTACTTTTCAAACACTAAGGCCTCAAAACACTGAAAGGGTTCACAAAAACGAACATGCCCCCGAGACGAAAGCCTCAAAAACCAGGGGCCCTAATAAGAACGTGTGACCATATAGTTATATATGTATATATGTGTGTGTGTACATATATATACCATGTTATTCAATGGCCAGATGCGAAAATGATTAATTACCCCGGTCCTCTTCATCCCTGGAACTTGCTGCATTGTCATACCAAAAAACAAAGCGGCAAGCTCAGGCCATTGGTGGGACTTGCTCCAGCCCTGGCACGCAGCTGCGAAAATGGAGGGCGACTGGCCTTGACAGGGCTGCGGGTTGACTTGGGCGATGGTGAAGCCGTTTCTGGACAGCAACTCGAAACACAGCAACTGACTTGGTGAACCAAGTGTTTAACACAATCGGTGTTCGTGATGTTTCGTGCAAGATAAGTCATGGGAACATTAAACAAAGCCGTATACACATATAAACAACTGCTTAAACATGCCAATGTTTGCAGAAGCCGCCAGAGCTGTGTTAATGCTTAAATTGTTGAAACACGCGTCTTTCCCATGTAAAAGGGTTTTGAGGCAGTCCTTTTGCAAAAGGCTTTAATGTATAAGTTGGATCGGCTGCCTTGAGTTTGCATGCCTTTGCTCTCAAGAAAAACTACCACCACAAGCAAAGAGGAACCCACATTGATGGTCAACTTATATAATTAAGCATGGTTCAATGGACTAACACCTCTCAGCCCCTGCAATCTCCGTGGTAATCACACGGATTGCTCAAACATTTAAGCAGATTTATAAGACATGGTTTAACAGATGCCAAAGCTGATGGAGCGTCGAGCCTGGTCCAAGAAAATGCTAAGGATGTTCGGGATTGTCGATTTGAAGGTGATGCTGAGAATTGTAGAGAGAGAGAGAGGGAGCAAACAACTATTATATATATATATATGCGGCAGCTTTAAACAAAATCATATGTTTTGAATGAAAGGTATCCGTTTACATATGTCCGCGACATTCCTGTGTCATCGTGTGTGCAACATGTGTGCAACATTGTCACGGTCCGCAGAGCATTGTCATTGTATTGCGCTTTGCAGAGGCCAGGCTCCACATGTTGTGTTTTTCTTGATGAGCTTGACTTGTTGTCCAGTCGATACACTGAAAGCAGACACAACCCATGTAATTAATGTGAAAATTGCCAGCGATGTTGGCCTTGACTTAGCGCTGAGAGCGATATTGCAGAGCCGTTCATGGATGATGGATGGATGCTACGATGGATTCACTTGGCGCGTGTCCGAGCGCAGCACGAAACTACGTCACATCGCCAACTATAAATTGCCAACTAAGGTTAGGCAGGCATTCAGCCCCGCATTCCACAGCTTTGTGAACGTCGACTTGCCTGGCGGCTGGCTTCTTGTGGAAGCAGAACGTGCGGCCGAAAAGGGCGGGGAGTGTTGCTGCTACTTGAGACAACGCAATCTAGCACTTAGGCAAAGCACGTGCTTGGTGGGCCAAGGCCACGGCAGAACGAGGCAGACTTCACCGAGATCAAAGAGTGGGCGCCTGAAGGAAATCATTGATAATTGAACGGAAGCCTTCAAAGCAGGATCCGATTCATACATTTCAACTATGTATTATTATATAACGAAAGCCAGCGGATAGGCTAGGCTGGAGTTGTCGATGGGCGAACGAAGTGAGTATGGGGTTGCAAACTTGGTCCTGGTGGGTAGGGTGAACCCAGAGCCTGGCGTCCAAAAGGTAATGAAAATGTATGTTAGCCGGTCTTGGTGATGCGAGTGATGCAAATGACGCTGATTAGCGCATCATAAGCATCACGAAGTGCGCAGGATGCTTTTTGGGCTGTCTATTGAGTAGGAGCGTGGGTTTGGGTAGAGGATTGACGAAGTGTTGAGGAGACTACTTGGGCTGTCTATTGACTAGGCATGGGAGTTTGAGTAGAGGACAGGACAGGGGAGACTGCGTGATAGGAAATGCAAGAAAAGATGTCATCCCACACTGAGGGAGCTGACCAGGCTAACCAGGTGTTGGAGAACAGAAGCGGCGAGACTTGCGCAGGCCAGAGTCTCTTTCTCATAGAGATAGCGTTCGGACAAGGCAGGGGGACATGTGCGGGCTTCATCTTTACAGCTGCGTCTTGGGGGTGCCCCCCTTTAAATTGCGAAAAGGACTTTTAACTTGATGTAGGAGGGCACCCCACAGAGCTATAGGCATCCAAGGGGGTCGGACATCTGTGCGGGTCGAAGACTATCCTATGCCCAGTAACAGGCCCCCCCAAACTGTGAATGTCCTGCTCAGCTCAACCTTTGTCCTAACGCATGGCAGTGAATGGGCCTTGATCAAAGCCTTGTATATTGTATATAAAGTATAAAGAGCCTATCATATCGACCCTCAATGCGAGACTTTGCGCCTTTCTATTTCCCAGCGCCCAACAGCAGTAGAGGTCAGCGCAATGCCGACTTCACCCCACAACCACAGTAATCTTTGCTCAATGTTTTACAATCGCGCGATCTCGGCAGTAAACTTTCATCGGTCCACACTGAGACGCACACCGAGTTTGTGAGTCCAGGTACAAGACAGGAGAAACAAACAGCAGGTAAGCATCCCTCAGTTACTTAGGGGTGCCCTTTTTCAGCTTGAACACACCTGTGAACCAAAAGAATAAGGGCACCCCCTCTGGACCTGTGAATGCTCAATTCAACCTTTGTCCCCCCGGACCGTACATGTCCTGCTCAACTCAACCTTTCTCCTAACGCATGGGCTCCACTCTATCCGATAACCTCTAAATGGAGCTTGATCAAAACCTTGTGTATAAAGAGCCTATCATATCGACCCTCAGTGCGAGACTTTGCGCCTCTTTGCCTTCTATTTCCCCATGCCTGACACCAGTTAAAGTGCGCTGCCGACTTCACCCCATAACCACATTGATGTCACTGTCTTCTTGCGGAGGCTGGTTTTCGTCCCTTCCCTCAGGGAGATGCAGGTATTGCAAATATGTGTACAGTATATAATGTGTATATATGATTGCAAACGCCTATGCACAATTTTACACAGATATATATATATGTGTAAATATATATATATATACACAGCGAGAGAGAGAGAGAGAGAGAGGGAGAGAGAACGCCTCAATGTTCGCCATGGCTGTTGAACGTCACTGACTATACCCCTTGCCACTGGAAATGCGACCTTCCTGCTATGACCATGATGTGCTGTAGCCTCATGTTGGCCGCGTTCTCCTCACGTGACATCCACAGGTATTTACGAGCTGGCCTCACTGCTCACTTTGCACCTTGGTAGACTGCAGAGTTAATTTGCTGTGATTTGTTGGGTTGCACTAGAGCAAGTTGCAAGTGTTTTGCAACCTGACACTGTGAATGAACGTGCGGGCCTGATGAAACGTGTTTGCATGTGTGCTAATGATTCGTGATTACTGTATATGTTGCATATGTGTGTGTGTAGATACATGCGTTGGACTGGAGGTTGTATGTTTGATATGCATACATTGACACTGTTTGCCGCTGCGTGTGCAACCATGTTTAACCGCCGACGATGCCAGAACTCTGGCAAGCATTGCAGCGGTAGTTTCTATTGAATTTTTTTGCATCCTTCCGGTTGATGTGGCATCACAACATGCCCCGAATTTTTTTCTACCGGTCTATGATACTCACGGAATGCCTTGCCATGGACTTATGGGACAGCATCAGGTCGATCATTTCGACGATGTATATAGATATGCCTTCGAAGGCACAGAGGCTGGATATGCTCGCATGGTGCCCTTACCATTTCTTGGACAGCGTCTGACTAGCATCTTCCTGTTGAACCAGAGTCTGACGCCAATGAGACGCGTCCATGGAAGGCGCCGCCGTTGCCGTTTCAGCCCAGGGGTCTACCCGTGTGGCTCTTATGAAGTCCTGGCCGTGGCGGCCGTGGCGGCCGTGGCACGGCATTTCATGACCGAGGCCAAGACCGTGGTGACACCGGCTGATGCCATGCCTCCACCACTCCCCGAGGCCCCACGTCGTGTTGAGACCTGTTTTGCCGAACTGACTCGCAGAAAGATCAGAAAATCATGTGATGTGGTTGCTTGACACATACGGCACGCGCTCACACAAGAGTTTCCTCCACGGATGGTTCAAGGTACAAATGTAGTGATTCTGGGCGCATATTTAAACTTGCGACGGCAAAGGGCATGTAGCCATTCACAAATATATAATGATTGTTGGAACACCAAGGTGAAAACAATGCATTCACCAACATACTTCAGTTTTGTATGCAAAGGCCATTCACCCGTCGAAATTGATTTTGCAACCTTCCACACCAGATATTTTGCTTGCCCGCCATGGAGGAAATGCAGGACGAGCGTGCTTGTTGAACTCAGTTTTACGCTTGACTTTGCGGGGAGGCTTGTAGTGCATGGCCTGCGTGGGCCATGGTCAGACCCAGAAAGGTTACTAGTAAGGCACTTGTTACTACTAGCGTGGCACCTGTTACTACTAGCGTGGCACTTGTTTCTAATAGCTTCTTGTTACTACTAGTAAGGCACTTGTCCGGTTTTTTATGGCTGGCTTTCTGCGGTAGACTCACTATGCAGGAGGCAAACCCTGAGATGATGTGGGGGCCTCATGGACGCGATTCCTTTTGGGACGAGGGCGGTGAACAGAAGTTGCACAAGTGAAGAATTCGATTCACATGGTTTGCCCTCAGGACCTGCCGCATTTGCTTGGAATCTGACACATCAGAGGGGGATGAGCTTCTAGCCCCATGCTTGTGCTGCGGCAGTGCCAAGTCTGGGCCTGATGTTTCCGACCGCCGCACCGCCGTTTCAGCACTGACGCTGTGCACCGAGGTACGTGCACCGCAGCTGCAAGGGGAGCCCAGACCAGATCCCCGACCCGCTGGACCAAACCCACTCGACCCAAACGGTCCTAAGGCTTGGACCAATGGCGAGTGAGTGGCTTCGATCCCAAAACCGTTGCGGAGCTTAGTTGAATTGTTTTTTGAGCAAGGGTGGAGGAAGGATTTGAAGGATCTGAACGGACACGGCCTTTTCTCAGGTCACCCATTGTGGTACTTGTAAGGCCTGAACATGTTGCCAGTCACAGTCCTTGCAATTCCCACAGTTCTCATTGCCAGGCCAAATTCAAGTTGCAGGCACCTGTTGATGCCAAGGGTGCAGAGAGAGAAGTATGGACGCTGGGCTGAACGCGTTCTCACAAATGAGCAAAGGTAATATCAAAGGTGTAGAAGCTGAATGAGTTGTGTGAAGTCGTCTTTAGATTCTGAGGGGAGAGATCGTTTGTGGCTCAGTTCCGCGCAGAGTGCAGAAGGACTGTAGCTAGGACGGGCATTTGACAACGTTTCGTTCATGAGGACGATGATGTTCCAAGATTGATCGCCTGCAGTGAATTTATTTTGAATCTACATGATTCATGATCGTCCATATTTCTGTTGGGTTGGGTGTGTGCAGTGCCTGGCTCACAAGAGAAATAGCTCACTCGCACACGCGCGGGCTATTGTGAGGCCGGGGGGCCCTACGTATCGCCACAAAGGCAACTAGCTAGGTCCATCAAGAGTGACATACTCACAGACTCTTACTCCAAATCAATCTAGTGACAGTGTGCGGTTGTTTGTGAGTGTTCCCAGAGAGGGACCTGGGCCGTCCGTTGAAGGCGATGTTCCCAAGTTTGAGCTTGCCCTTGGAACTGCTTTGGCGGCCGAATCTGCAACAAGCACCTACTGAAGCACAGCTGGCACAGGACTGGCTTGCACTTGAAAGCTGTTCCCATTTGTGATGCTTTGCAACGCTGAGAGGGGGGCAAATCCATGCAACATATATACAGGGTGCAGATGGCTCAAGGAGAAATCCTGGCCCTACCATCGATTGCAACAACCTCCATCTCCGGGATGCCTAAAATAGTATGAAAGACAGTACATTGAAATAAATACCATCAAATGATGTCCAGAAATCGTGATCATGAGGAAGAGGCGCTCTATGCCGCACAGCGCGAAGCTATTCGAATGCAAGAGCCGCTGACCCAGCCGATTGGCCTTGAGAAAAAGCCGCAACTCGGCCACAATCCGTCACGATGCCTTGGCCGCTTGGCCTTGGCAGTCTGAAGTTGGTAACAGGGAAAATGACTAAAGCGCTAAAGCCATTTGGTCAAAAATCCTGCTGGAACATCCTAGAACCACTGGGTTGAGATGTCAACCTGCCACAGGTTTGGGGCTTTGACTCACAGCCGTTTGGTGATCCGATGATCCTGATGCATATATCAGAAGATATCAGAAGTATGTGCACCGCGCTGATGAAACTCCAGCGAGCAAATGCCAGACCAAATGCACCACCAGTCTTCGTACAATCAACCCTGGACCAAGCCCCGTGATGCGCCAAGTACCCGAACCTGATTTTTTTCGTGATATTTGGTCACTGGGGATGCCTCAAGTCAAGTCCACCAGCTAAGTGGCTAAGCAGAGCTATTTGGCTCCCAAATCGTCCTAAATCCATCGGAATGCCTAGGCCGGCTGAACCTGCTCAACCTGCTGAGGACGAGGAGCGTGGGATATTTGGGGGGGACCGGGTGCCAGTGATCACTCCACAAAACGAAAACCATCTTGTTAGCTAGCAGCTTCGCTATGGTTCACCCCCGCGCAGTTAGTCCCAACCTGTCTTACCAAGGTCCGGCTCATGAGGTAAAGTGTGCTTGGGTTGTTGATGTTCAGGGATTGTGATGTGAGGCGTAGTAGAAACAACCTCCAAAATCTTCCAACCAAATACAGCCTTGTGCTGGCCTCAACCGGAAGCTGGTTTAGCGTGCCACAGGGGTCTAGCAAACGTACGAAATCTGAAGCTCGGGCTGCACAAGCGTAGGAAAAGAAATTAGCTAAAGTCGTTTTTGGTCATTTGGCAAGAGTGAAACTAGGCACTAGGCTCAGCATGGTCAAGCACTGGAGAAGCAAACAGGATGATCTGGAGGAAGCCGAGGAGGAGTTTACAGACGATGAAGGGCCCGCCGACCGCTTCTAAAAGCCTTTTTGGCATGTTGGATAAGCCATCACGCAAGGCATGATGATGCCGAAATGGGCTCATCTTGATGGTCGGCACTGGGAGTAGTTCCAGCTCCTAACATTTCAATGTACAAAGGGCGTATGCTTGCAGACCATACTGTGGTCTTCTAATGACATGCCAGGGTGCACGCAATTTGTTTAAGCATGTTTAAGCTGGCAACACTTAATCTACTCTGTTCGATTAATAAACCTAGATGTTGGGCAACCGCTGTGAGTCCAAAGTTCCTGAGCTTTTCTGTAAGGATACAGGGATCCTGGCATGTGGAAATTTGAAAGCCAATGTCGTGTGACCGGCCAGTACACTAGCACAACTCGCACACGGTCCCTTAGATATGCGAAGTGCAAAATCTATGCTTGTGACTTGTGACATGATGTGATGTAGGGCAATAAGTCTCGCGGTGTTTAGCAACTGCGTGCCCCTCCTCCCAGAATGTGTCCTTCTTTACGCAGATGTACACAGATGGAATTCCAACATTCTATTGCCGATGTTCGGCGCGCCTTACTTGAAGAAACCGTGAGCCGTGGGGCTTTGAGGTAAAATATTTGGCAATCAGAATCGGGCTTTTCTTCACTGTCGTGCCACTTGGGCATGCAACTTCAGTTGCCGCATTTCCCAGTTCGAGTTGTCTGGTTCATCAGTTTGATGCTTTCTCCTCCCCCATCCTGCAGCATTCGCACATATACACGCAGAATAGTGTGCGTGCACTGCACTCAATATGCCACAGATGAAAGGAAAGGAGGAAGGGAGGGAGGAATGGAAGGCTTTTGAAATCCGAGGACGGCGCTCGGCTTCCTGACCCCTTGGCTTCTGGGTGTATTTTCCTTAGATCCTGTGCACCCGCTTCAGCTGAGACAAGAAGGTGACTGGACCTTGAGGCCCCAGACGTGCAAATCCTGTCGAACGTGATCCTGAACCATCTCACTGTCCCTAGCTTAGCCTGATCCAACTCCCACAGCTGAGGTATGTTGTAACGCTGAAAACGTCACAATTTGTTGCGAGGTGGGCACCCTAAGCACCTTTGTTTTGGCCGGAGGTGGGGCAAACTACTTTCAGTTGCATTGAGAGTCTGAGAGTCTACAAAATTGCTCATGAGGTTGGGCTGTTTTGCAAGTTTGGCACTCAGGTCAAGCAAGCAGAAATAACATGAAACAAGTCCAAGATGCATCCCAGGCCCTTTGGTCGTTGAACCTTTGCGGGATTCATCCACATGCCTGGAGCTTCGACGGCAAGGCCATTCATCCCTTTCGCTTCGATTTTCAAGCGCGGCTGTCGAAGCGAAGCATCGCGAAGCATCGCGAAGCATTGAAGCTGAGAGTGCTAGGATGCGACCTTCATTTTACTCGTTATCGTCAGGGCCTTGGTGCAGACACACTAGACACGCCTCGCCGAACTGTGCGAAGACTGCCCCGCTGAGGTTGCCATCATTGGAGCTATATATCTTCTCTACCAGCTTTGCAAAGGTGCAACTGCTGCTAGAAAGCTACTTTTTGCAAAATGGTTTGTCCAGCCTTCATGTCATCAGGCTTGTGGGAAATCGCCCAAGCAGGACAAAATGCTTCGCGCTTACAGAGCAAGCGCGTTTAAGTGCATGTTCATCACCATGGACTACAATTAAAACCTCTATATATCAATCTAGCACACACACACTTATGGATATGCATACTGACTTGACAGCGGTGCCACACGCCGGCCTAGGGTTCCATTTCCTAAGAACACGAATAAGAACCACAGGTGCCTCGGGGTCCTCAAAAAGGAAAAATGGCCAAAGGCTCAAGACGAGGTCGGTCCGACAGGGTGACGGCGTTCCGTGCGTGACTGCAGCTGCACTAGCACTTTATCAAAACTTCAAAAATTGGCAGGCACGCCGAGTTGATCAGACTCGGTATCCCGTGATTGTGGTAGCTTCGTTGGGTGCGGTCCCACAATCACGCCGCACTCCCCTGCTGTAAAAAACCAAAAGCAAAAACAATCCGAAAGGATCCCTGTGATTCCAAGGGTTACACACACACGCCTCCCCGAGGGGAGGCGTCAAACTAAGGTGAGGGCAAATGTGCACGTGTGCGCGCACAAGAGACAAAAGAATGAAGACATGACAGCAGGACGAGACGGGACAAATGTGTGTGTGGTGGAAATGAAAAGGGAACCAAGTGCACAGGGACACCCGATGAAGCCCACCTCATTGTCAAGACCTGGGCGACCTGAAACCTATGTGAAAATGTATGTAAAAGTGCACGTACACACTAAGGTCGGGACCAATGTGCGCGCAAACGAAGAAAAGGATGAGATGACCAGACATGAAGACAGGAGGACATGAAAGAAAAGAGGAAACAAAAGTGTGTGAAGGGGAAGGGATGAAAGGGGAACCAAATGGAGGGGACGAAAACCGATGAGACCAAACCTCATTGCAACGACCTAGGTGACCTGCCTTGTTTCAATGTACACGCTGTGTGTGCACCCAAGGTCGCGACAGGTTCCAATGAACCTCAAAAGTACTTCGGTCGCTCTGACCACGTTGAGGCGTTAAGCCAGCTTGGACCGCTGCGGTCACGTAAAGGCATGAGCCAACTTGGAATTCCAAAGATGAGACAAACATCCCACTTCTTGAGGCATAAGATACCCGTCTGGAAGTCCATACTTTTTTCCCAGACGTCAGGGACATTTTATTACTATGATTTTTCTCGCACCGAACCTCAGTCACAGGATTCCAAAAAAGAACACCAAAAAATTAAAGGACATGCAATTCCAATGTTGACGCAGGAAAAAATAAGAGATATTGAAAAAACAAATCATTGGGAATTCCTAGAAGGATGGAATGGTTCAGCACAGGATTTCATAACAGTTTCATTGCCTCTCCTGTAACAATAGAGTAAGGTCTGACCCAGGAATTTAATATGTTGGTTGGTCTAGAGTCTAGCAAGGATGCTTTTTTTGGAATCCTGCGCCGACGCAAGGCGAACCTCCGAAGTCGATCAACCGATCAACATGGTTGTTTGCACAAGATTTCTCAAAGCACACACTCAGAGAGATCATCGACCGATTCCAACAGTAGACTCTGCCAGTCCTCGGCGCTAGCGCGGATCTAGCGCCAGCCTAGCGCAAAAATCTCCGTCGATTTCTTTATCCTGTCAGATTCTTATTTTTCCTGCTTGCTTGTATTCTTCTTGTTGTGCATTGTTCTTCTTCTTGGCTTTTCTTTTTTCTTGTCTTACTTCTTCTGTTTCCTGCTCTCTGCGTGTTTCTTCTTTTTCCTGCTTGCTATCCTGTTATGAAACCTAGCGCCAACCTAGCGCCAATCCTTGTCCTTCCTCAGGTCCTGCAAGATTGCAAGACAATGGTGGAGAAGATGGGGGCCTTTGTTCATACCGAATCTTTTACAAGCTTCAGCCAGAATTCCATAAATGACGGCGCTTGTTTTGGAAAATGCTGGAACTAAAAAATTAGGAGGTTAGAACACGCAGGCCGGAAAGAGGGTCCTGCCCAACCGCAGCTTGCAGCTCTGTCTTCTCTTCCAACTTCGCATCCTACGCCAGGTGTAAAAAATAGATCCTTGACTTCTATTTCCAAACCAACCCGAGACTTCTAACGTCCCAAAGCACCAGAATGACCTATATCGAGTTCTTTCCATGAAGGACCAAAACTCTATATAGTTGAATCTTCCTCAACCAAGTAAACTTCCCTCATCGTAGCCAAACTCGTGAAGGACAAATATACAAGGACAGAACTTCTCCCACCTGCGAAACACCGGTCGATGGCTCCATCTTCGCCTGAGGATATGGAAAGAAATACAATGACCAGCGTCCCAAAACAGAATCGCAGATCTTCAGGAACCACGTTCGAGAAAAAAGTCTTTGACTCCTGATCTCCTGTATGCCCGTGGGTGCTCCAGGTGGGGCTGGCAACCTACTGAGATTGTGGATGTTTATGAAATCCTGCGGTCAACCTGTGCCGGAGAAACATCCAAGAACATAGTGTGATACCAGGCAGGTATTTTCTACTTTTTTCCTGGATCAACCCTCCCGAAAGAGACGTCTAAAAAAGCAGGCCTCGGCGC